GCTTAGGATATGACTGTATGCATATATGGCTGTACGTCCTGTATCTTTGGTTGGTTTTGCACATGATTGGTGGAAAACAAAGTGGAATTGCTGCCTTCTGGAAAAGAACAGCAAATCATGAAAGTTACAGGCCACAGTAGGGACAGACTGACACTCTTCATTATAAGACTTAAAACATGTAAAGATGGGTATATTTGCAGGAGTCTAAATTAACTATCATTAGGAAGCATCCTACTTCTTCTTCCTACGTCCTTCCTTGCTGACAACACTATTCGGCCCTCACTCATCATGGAAACTCTTCTGCTTTGGCTTAAGTGTACTTACTGACGGACCGCTTGTGTTGCCCTATGGAAGAATGGATGGATGGATGGATGGATGGATGGATGGATGGATGGATGGATGGATGGATGGATGGATGGATGGATGGATGGATGGATGGATGCCTTTTCTCCATCATCTAAGCTCTCCAGCAGCCTCTCATCTGCTCATTTACTCATCTGCCCCTCATTACTGTGATCTCAACTTATTCAGTTCTTGGTTTCTCGGTCACTGTGTCTTTACCACCAGTCAGCTTTGTTGGTTTCCTGCGTTCATCTACAACTGAAATCATGAACCTACAGGCCTCATCTCTGTGTTTGGATCCGGAAACATGGAGCCCCCTAATAGACGAACTGTATAACAGGCTGAGCATCAAGATGTTTTGGATATTTGAGGGTTTACAAAAACCTCACAGAGTGAGGCTGTGTGTTGCTGTGAGTTTTACTTCCCCTTTCTGTTGCTATGCTGTGATAAAGTGCTAGAATAAAGTGCCTCTTAACGTGAAAGTAACAGAGGTCAAATAAGGAGATTGTGCATGTTCAAATTCCTGCATATAGTCTTCTTATGTAAGCATGTGAAAATCATCTGACCAGGGGTTTTCTTTGCCAGCTATTACTACCCTAATATGTTAGAGGGTCTAATCTGTGTGGAGAATGTGACCCGACCTGAAACCAGCTGCAATGGAGGCAGCCAGAGAGTCAAAACCTGCAGCTCCTAGGAAGCACAAAATCAGCATTTTATGGAATCCCATTCTACTGTTTGAAATTTAAAGACCACAAAACATTCTGAACAAAGACTAAGCAGGTTAAGATTAAACTCCTGAAGTTCTTACATCAAACTTCACCCTAGGATGGAAGATTTCCAGCTGGGATAAGCTGCAAACATTTTAAGCTGGCAAGTGAGTGACATATTAATAAAGCATGCCCATTTATTTTATTGCAGTACTTGTTCAGGTTTAAATGAGTACATATTATAGATGCTTTACTTTTACTTACGTAACATTATCATGAATTATTGGTATTCTCACTTGCAGGAAATTTCTGGGTACTCTAACCACTGGAAGTAAGTTCACTCTAAGACACACATGCTAGTTTTTAAACCAGAAATACCCCACAGAGATGCTCACACAGTTTATGTTAAAGTGGGATTTATTTTCTTTTTACATCATTTTTTTAGTTTTATTGTTTTCCATCTGCTGAGCCTGACATGGCCAATGAGGGTCAGTGAATATACAGTAAACAGTATGCATGTCACTGAAAGCACTTTTTGCGTAAGTATTTTACCTACTGGTCTAAGAGTTTAAGGAAATTGAATATTGGAAAGATCTGCAGTTTGTTTTGTAATTATTAATTTTTGAATATGTATTTTATTTCAGGCTTTAGAATCTTTTGTGAGAAATTCCAGTATGATCTGCTGACAATGAGCCTGGTTCTGCCGGAAGTTTCACCCAGTTTTCCGCCCCACCGTTGCTGCATGCATGCTCAGCATCAGGGAAAGGTGCAAAGTCAGCTAAAAAACGAGGACTGATGGTTCATTGCTCATCCAAGGATCCATTTATTAACACTTTAAAACTGGAAGCCAGAGACTTGACACAATCTGCAGGGCTCCCTTAGATCGAAACACTTTAACCAATTTAAAGAAAAACGTATAATTTATATATTTAACTTAAAATCTTCCTGTATAATTCGATTGCATAGTTGTTGTTTTTTTTGTGCGAAGGGGCCTGGGACAACAGATTTGGGTTATGTAAATTAACTAAATTGATAACTAAATCAATGGTTAACAAAAGTTTTTTAGTTCATGTCTATATTACCACAGGATATAAAATAAATAATCCAACACACTAATAACTAGTTATTGACTTTATTATTGACATGCAAAATAGATTATTGAAAAAGATTATCCTAACAGTATTGATGATTGTATGATTGAAATATTTTAGGCACCAACATGTTCTTGCTGGATTAAGTGGTAAATGCCTTCCTGGTCTAGTCTATTATGCAGCTCATGCTTTACTGCTGCCGATTCAACAGCAACGCCTTCCTCCTTTTCTTCCTGTTAAACTGTGCTCTTGCTCTCTCAATAGAAAAGTGAAGTGGACTCATGGATGGAGCCATCATGGTGGTCATCCAGTGCTTGTTGGATCTGACCTCAGCTGGTGATACTGGAAGTGTATTTGGGTCATTTGGCTTCAAATTGGATTTCTTCTGCTGTTTGCTCAGATGCACACGGAGGTTTGTCCTCACGGTGGGGCTGGCTGTTGTAAAAAGCCTCCATTCATTGTGGGCATCCATGTCTTGCAGCGCAGCAGTGCTCACAGGGCTCTGCTGTGTAACGAGGGTGTGGGGAGTAGTGAGAACATTCACATTTTCAGGGCTGCTGTGGGAAAAAGGATGGTTTTGACTGGAGGGAAGAATGGCTGTTTTCCTCCTTCTGTTTCTCTGCACTCTATCTTTTGACCTTCGCCTTTTCAGAGCAGTAAAGTTCGGGCTGAGAGCTGTAAGCTGGCTGTCCGGTCTGTAAAATGGCGTGATTAAAAGGGGCAGCTCTGTTGTAGGGACCGGTGCTGTGGTGGGTGACTGGGGATGAGGGAAAGCTGTCAGGCGGTCTGGAGAGGAATTCTGCAGATCAGAGGGAACAATGGGAGCATCAGAGCTGACTTTCTTTCTTTTCTTCCTCCCCTCTTTGTCTCCTCTGTCCTTTGACCTGCTCCTTTGCACTTTGGGGACAACAATGGGAATAGTGGCCGTGCTTGTTTTAGAGGAGCTATGTTGCTCTGATCTTTGCTTTAATATATCAGTAATGTTTGGAACAGAGTCAGCTGAGTTTAAATTGACGTCTTCAGGAGAAGGAGGCATTTTCTTGCTTTTCTTTCTCTGACCCCTCCTTTGTCCTTTAGTTTTTGTTTTATGAGGCCTAACAGTCGTCATCCTATCTGAGAGAAGGGCTTTCTCCTTGATCTCCTCAGTCTCTGACTCAGCCAGCACCTTCTGAACATTTTCAGGTGACATAATTGAAACCGTCTCCATATCCGCAGCAGGTTCATCTTTCATGACTGCATTAGAGCGCTCGTCTGTTCTCCTAGGCTCAAATTCTCTGTCCTCCACTCTGTTTGTGTTTATCTTTGACCGGTCTTGTTTGCTGGACTCACTAATGAAATTGCTCAGAGCCAATACGTCCTCTGCTTTGCTGCCAGGAGGTGGAACCACAGCTCCTTCCTCCGCTTTCAAACCTGCATCTGTTTTCTGCTTTTTCTTCCTCCCTTTTCCTTTACCTTTGTGCTTTTTATTAGTTTTCTTCTTCTTCCCCATGTTCTTTCTCTTCTTCTTCTCTGATGCTTGCGTCTCCTCCTTGTCGTGGTCAGCGTTGGAGCTTTGAGATGTGGAGACGGTGGCAAGCAACTTGATAAAGTCCTCGGCTGCCGTGACAACGTTTGTTAGTGAAGGCTCTGATATCGTACTCTGAGTCGGACTCTCCTGCTGCTCCTCCTCCTTCCTCTTTGTTGACTCTTCACGCTTTGGTGGAGCCAACGTCAGCTCATCTATGACATCAATACCTCCGTAGTCATAAGGCACCGCTTCTCTCAGCACAGCGATGGGGAACTTCTCGTATCGCTTACACCTGCAGGACAAAGAAGAACAAATGGAAGAAATGGATTATTCATTCATAGTGAGCTACAGCTCTACATGTAACTGGACATTGATACTTACAGGCCATACCAGTGGCGTTCAGCGCACTGTTCCTCATAGGTGAAATCAAAGCAGGGAACACCGATGACGTTGAAAAAGGCCTGACCGACAACCCTGGAGGATGTGTCATTGACTTTCCTCAGACAAGCTTTTAACCTTTAGAAAAAAAAAAAACAAATAAATAAAACAAGTGATCTAAACTAAAAAACATCAGGATAAAATCTGGAATAAAGAATGACCCCAAAAACATGTTTTTGTTTTGTAACAGACAGGCATCATGTAAATAAATGGATAATTTTTCTGGGATTACTGCCCTGCTACAAACTTAGAGGCACATATTTTATTTTACTTTGTCTCTGTTGAATTTCTAAACACATTTTTTAGTTCACTAAATTCTACACATTAAAATTTGTATCTTTTTTCTATTTAGAGGTTTTATAAGGGCTTATGTGTTATTTCATGAGGACGCACCTCTAGTTAAGCCCACTGGCCACCCTAATACTGACCTATTTATTCTTCATGCTTTATCATTTTCTTTGTTTTTGTTCTTTTATATATATATATATATATATATATATATATATATATATATATATATATATATAGTACTAAGCCAACCAATGAGTTGAATTAACAATACAATAGGATGCATTTTCTTAATTATGACATCATAAACTTAAGATAAAATGACTAAAACCTTCTGCAGATGAAAAATATTTTCAAATGTTTTTAACCACTTACTCTTACCTGCCTTTTTCTAATATTTTTTTTTAACGTTTTTCCTGTTCTGCTTATCACCCAGCGTTTTAATAAAGCAATAAATCAATGAAGGGTTTCACTCACTCATCATCGCAGTCACAGTGGGAGAGGGAGTGCCATTTGAAATTAGTGTATCCATAGTTTGATGAGAAGGCGTGGATGACATGAGCGCAGTGGTCATGAGTCCTACAGCAGCTGTCCGTGTCTGCAAACTCTCCTGCAAATAGGAGGTCACAGCCATATGTGTATTTAATCTAGATGCATCATCTGATTCAGACAAAGCCATGCGCTTACCTAGCTGGTTGTAGTTATCCGCCATGTTTCCGGCTCCACACCACAGGGTCCCCGGGTAGGTGAAGCCCCTCTTGGATCTTTTCAAAACCTTCTCCTGCCCTCCCTCTGTGTCTGTGTTCTTCCAAGCCGCGCTGCTGCCCTCGGACCTCAGATTAAACTCCCTGCACAGCAGCTTGTCCTCATCAATGCGCGCAAAACGCGCCTCCAGCTGGTGCCCGGCTCTCCGCTTCTTCAGCCCCAGCCTGCACTCGTGCAAAAACGATTTCACCTCCATCTGGTTCACTACGACAGAGCAAGTCACCAGCTTCCCACTGGGGCTCACTACGGTCCGAACTACCTCGGCTCCATCCGACACCTGGTAGAGGACGTTTTCCCCAATGAGGGACATCTTTGCGCAGAAGGTGCCGTTGATCATGGAGAACATCTCCCTGCTCTCTTTCTCTGCGTCCAAAGCGCTGCTCAGGAAGTCACCTCTCACCACGTTTCTGTCCAGATAAGACAGAAAGACGAAGAAAACTGACCACATGATGCGGTGGGTGGCACTTTCAGCACCACGCGTAATGGAGACAGCTCCCAGCACGTCTGGTGCTGGAATGGCGCAACCCTCTCACTTTTAAGGCGAAGACAAGGTGGCGCGATTCATAACGCGAAGAATGACCATATGGGGAGGAGTCAAAGGAGCTGGATTAACCTCTTTAGGATGTTTCTTTTGCTTGATCAGCAGGTATATGACCACTGCTGTAAGGTTGCCCCAAAGGAGAGCAGAGGGTTAAAACTGATCCGAGTTTGAACCTCCAGGTTTTTCCAGCAGATAAACTGAGAGAAGTGACCGCAGGTTACCTTCTAAGACCCTCCCTCGGTGAAAGAGGAGATTTACTCTGAGAAAATGCGTGGAGGAATTCAAGCTTGCCTGCTTTTCCATGGTAACAGGCATGGGATGACTGTGCCAACACAGGACACTGGACATCCTCCAAGCGCCACAAAACAAGGCACTGGATTGGTGCCGACCTAAATGCCAATGTCAGGACAAAACCCTCTTGCTGAGGAATGTGGAGAGGGGGTTTCAAACTGTCACACGAAAACTGAGTGACTCCAAAGGTCAAAGTGGGTCAAAGTATTTGTGCCAAATTCGCCAAAAAATGTAGGTCAAATTGATCCAAAAGATGTCATTTAAGTTGAAATTTTATTCTATTTTAGATGTTTTCTCATTATAGCACCTTCTCATGTAAACCTTTACTACTATTTCTTTCTTCCCATCTAGATAAGACCAGCAACCATTTAAATGTAATCTTGTATCATGGAAATTATGATCATACATACAGCTACAGTCATTTGCGGAAGTATCTTTTAATTTTTTAAGTGCATTCAGAAGTGGAAGGATAATTATGCATCGTTTTAAACATTTGCAGCAGTTCTTCAGCGCCATCAAAAATCAGGAAAAAGACTAAACAACCAACTAAACATGACAGGCAAGAAGAACTTTAATCGTTAAAGCAGCCTGAGGAGCTGCAGAGATGTACAACTCAGGTGGGAAAACAGCAGTCTGTTAGTCATCACTTTCCAGCTGCAGCACTGTTCATCCGGTTCAACACATTATTCTGTGAGGATGCTTATTTTTAGCAGTGACAGGGGTGCTATCCAAATGATGGTGTAGAATGGTTTTATCAACCTCGAGCGCTAAACTGAAAATTTGTGGCAAGACTTAAAATATAGGGTTTTTTCAAAAAAGAAGTGGAAAAAAGCATATGCAGCAGCCTGGCTGAGTTATACCCCAAACAAATAAAGGATGTTTTTTTATTTAGGAAGGCTAAATACTCATTTTTTCCAAATATTTCAGATTATCTGTAAAATGTGTGAAAAACATTGACTAATTTACCATTATTAAAAGTAAAAAGACCAATATACGTAAAGAAATACTATTGCAGCTTCAATTAATATTTTCTTATCTTAGTCATCATGTCTTGTTTGTATGTATCTTATTTTATAAATCTAAGTCTAAATTTAAATGATGCATGTTAAAGTTTCATGTATTTGGTTGGAACTTGCTTTTTGTTCCAAGAAAAAAAAAACAACCTTCATATCAGGTTGGGTTCCTAATGAGCCCAGTGTTTTGTCACATGGCTGGTCTTATTCTGAGACTCTAGAGGAGGAGATCCAACCCACACAAGGCACTGAAATCAGATTACTGGAAGGCGGAGAAAAATGATGTAAAATCACCAGAGGCAACATTCGATCACATCTCGAAGGAGTGGGAGAAAAAAAAATGATGAAAAAACTTTCCCATGAACTGAAGTGCCCAGTGTGGGACGAATTTGGGGCAGGAGAACAAGTCTGATAATCCATCTGTTCCTGTGGAGGTAATCTGTACTAAATACAAGGAAACATACAACCATGTTCACTGGGTTTGACTTACCTGTAATTTTAAAAAATACTTTAAGGAGTGTTTTTTAAATTATTTTGGTTCTTCCTCAAATTGAGGTGATAAATTATCTCAGGCCTGAGAATGTGTGGGTTTAAAATGCCCTTAATGAGAGCTACAATTATAACATTATCATTTTCTTGATGTGATAATATTAATATTATCATAATAATAAATTGGAACCCTTTAGACATGAGAAGCTTACACCGTATTGATGGCAGAACAGTGCCCTCTAGAGGGACTTGGAAGTAACTAGGCTTTTTTTGTTCCTCTTCTCTTTTTTTTTGTCTTGTTGAACCCAGTTGTTTCAGTCTTCTCCATATCCCATGTCAGAGCATCATCTGTCCAGTTATTTCCCCCCTTAGTACATACTTTTGACAGATACTTGTTGGCTTGATCTTAAACTTAGTCGTTGTTAGTAAAATCAGTTTGTGCTATTTAACTCAATTATAGAGTTGAGAAAACTGAACTGTTGAGAAAACTCCATAAACTCTAAAAACTCTAAATCATGACTCTGCATCACACTGACAACACAAAACCAAAACACTGCAAAATTGCACCATATATATTTAATACTCTGAATTTTTTTTTATACACTCGGATACAATGGATAACACAACTTAAAGGTTCAGACATTAAGCACTACTGACATCTAGTGGAGATGGTAGAAATATCAATCATACGCACAAATGTATATATATATA